CTGATAACCTTCTTACAGACCAATTGCCCGCCAATAAGGATATCAAATAATTTTGTTGGCACAGGCCGCCACAAAATAGAAATTATTTCATTTAAAAATCTTCAAATAAGAAATCTTCATTTCTTCCTTACAATTTAATAAATATAAAGCGTTAATCAATCTGATTATTAAATTCTTTCATTTGATTTGATAATATCTTGAACAAGGTCCTATTACTTCAATAAAGTATAAAATAAGTTGTCTAAAATAATTATTAAATTTTTTTGTTTTTATTTACATTTGTATTTCTCATTTGGTTGTGTATAAATTTCTTTTGTGTAATCTCATATTTTGATATTGTAATACGAGATCCTTGTATTCAGGCAATGTATTAACCATCATATTAAAATTCATGCATACCAGGAATGTTATGATTTATTAATGAGAATAAGGATATTGATAAGAGATATTTTTGTCTCACAATTTAAACTAAAACAATAGGTGTCTGTATTTATTTATTTATTTGAACAAGACGAAATAAATAAATGAATTGAAATGAAATTTATTCATAATATTTAACAAGAGTGGCCTAGTCAAAAAGACTGGTTTCCATTGGGCACTGGGAACAAAGAGAAAATTTGAAATAAAGTGCAAAGAATTAAAATAGTTATTAAGGGATCATGGTGCTTGTTTTGCAAGGACTGATATAGAAACATCAAATATAATGTGAATGGAGATCTCACTCATGTTTTGTAATAAGTATCCGGTTCTTAATTATATTACTATTAGCTATGAAAATTAGGCATAAAAGGGCGATATCAGGAATTAACTTGTCTGTGACCATCTTCCTTACGTAGATTCTCAATGTGATGTTATATTTAGGTCTTGCCGTCGTTGCAAATCAAAAGCTTATTTTTTTCCTGACTTCCAATATCTCTACTTTCTTAGCCTCATTAAGAGGCTTAGTACTTATAAAGCATTGTCGGGCCCTGTGGAAGAACAGGTTCCCAAATATTAACAAAATAATTTTTTCATTGTCTCTATGTGTTAAATAATTACTTAACTTCAACCTGTTTATTTTACTTCAATGCATATTCACAAGTTGTTTATTCAGATCAGATTACTTATTTGATTTTGTAACACGGTTCATTTCACGTAAAATAAGATAAGATAATAAGATATAAGAATTTCTTCACCAGGTTCTAACAAGTTCTTTATTATTATTGCAATTATATTTTACCAATTGTATTTTTTTTCAATCAATCGCATAGTTATTTTATTCAAATGCGAACCATTAATATTATGAGCAATTTGCCTGAAAATTGTAAAATCTTGTTGAAAGATAGGGAAAGATAATTAGCAACAGAAATATAATTATTTGCAAAGGGCATTGAAAAGCTTGAGTCATTATGTGAAAGCATAAATAACAAAGAATTAATTATTTAGTGATGCATTGAAACATCCTGATTTGGTTGACATTTTGGATAAATCAAATCTTTAATCTAGATGATCAATGTAAGAGAAGTCAGTGCATACTTGACTGCTTGGAAAGTGGAGTTTTATCGCATCATCTCTATTTAGTGCCTTGTATCTTTTTTATTTTTTAAATATGTATTTATTTATGTAGTATTTTCACATCAATTGAACCACTATTAACTTTATTTCTTAAATTTGCTTCTGTATTTCAACACATTTTCTAGAACGCTACCATCATATCAGTTAAGAATGTATACAGTATGTGTGCTACTTGAGGCTTAAAGAGAGCAGCTTAGCTTAGTCGTCTAAACTGGTGAAAGCCATTGTGTCGCGATCTCTAGGTCCCCAGTTCAATTCCCATCGTTACTCTAGGTCCCCAGTTCATTTCCCATCGTTACTCTCTTTGTGTTTCAGCTGAAGGACTGAAATGAAAGTTTACGACAGTGCACCGTCTTTAGCCATGAGCGAACCCACTTGCCTGACGCCCAGGACAAGTGTTTTTTTTTTTACGCTTGGACAACAACAATTTCAGGGACCACTGGTCCGTGGACAAGCACTTTTAGAATAGGCTACTTCACCATGTAATGTGTAATGATTTTACAGTACTTATAGAAAGTCCGACTCTTGACAATACGCAGTATATTTTATTAAGAAATTGTCGGCGCACAAAGAGATATCAAACAGAAAACCGACTAGGCATTGGTTACGCACCACACCGCGTGCATCAACACTCCCGCGAATTATGGACGGTTTAAAAGAAAAAATGTAGGCCTTCATAGTAGGAACACAACTATTTACGATTCTGCGCATCTATTTTTCTAGAGGTTTTCCCGTGCAATTTGAATTTGTTTGTAACCTCCACAAAAAAAAAGAAAAAAAAAGATACATTTTGAAGCTAGTATTAGAATTGATTAACATCTGCAAACGGGTACAAACATACGATATGGCCACCCCCACCCACCTTCTACAAATAACGTCCTAAAACACAGTCCTGTCAGCCTGTGGCCAAGAACTTGTGTATCATGGGAATCAACCATGCCTGAGGAATTTTTACTTGCAGTAGTCGTGACGACGGCTTTTAAACATGCAATAACAAAACAATCAAGACACTCCTACATACATAGAATAATAATGTTTATTTATTTGAATTTCTCCATATCATACATTATTGAAATTCTCTCAAAAAAAGAAAAACATTTTTGCGTGATCAATGCAGTATGCATGTAGGCCTATTAATGTTGTAGCGCCATAACTAAAAATACTTACTTTGTGTTATTTTTTATGATTATTGCGCAATAATATTAGGACAAGTAAAATTGTCTTCAGGACAAGTGCATTTTTTTAAAGTACTTGTCCGGGGACAAGTGAAAAACTGTGAAATTCCCTCATGCCTGGGCAATGTCTTTCAGATGAAATGTGCATTATGGCTTGTGTGTATGTTAAAGAGCACAATACACTTTCGGAAAACAGTAGGGGATTGTCTCCCAGTGTACTGCCCATTCACCATTAGAAAGACCCCACTGGAAATAAGTCTTCCTCAGACGAGTGTTATCCTTCCATCCATACTACCAGTGGCAGTGTATTTAAGTTGCATATATTACGTATCACTAACTAGATTTGCCTGGACACACCACAACTTTGTGTGTGCTACTTAGTCAATCAACAGTCAATATATCAATCAAACTAGCAGGCTGTTATAGTTGTATATAGTGATTGTGGAGGTGTTAGCTCTATGAGTATTACACTTGTAGCATCCTTAATGTGTTTAATATTGTAACTGACGCACATACCTGCTGAACTCAATTCTGTTGCGGATTGCTGGAACATGTTAGTATGCAAGATAGATAATCTTGTCGGTATAAAAAGAAGTATGTCTGATCCGGTAACACATTCCAGTGCAGCGAATTATAATTATATTGTGGGCATGCAAGCTACTACTAGGGACTTCATGCTCCCTAAGTATTAAAGAAAAATAAAATTATAATTAAATATCTCTTGAGAAGTTCAATATAGTTGGGTGAATATAAATATTTAACTATGGCAGGGGAGGATTTAGGTTGGGATGGGGGGGTTGACTACGCCTCTCCCCGCCTTTTGGAAAGTAAAAAAAGGAAAAGAAATAAATGCCTCAGAGGTTATTTTTGGAAGTCCAGAAAACAACAATTTCGTGGGGGAATGCCCGTGAACCCCCTAGGGTAGGTAGGCCCCACTTTCAGCCCCTCTTTCGAATTCCCCTTTCGGACATCTGTGGATCTGCCCTTGTATGGTACTTATTAAGTTGACAATGAGCAGTTGTTCCTGAAGTTCATTAGGAAGTTTTTGATTGAGAATGTACAGCGGGAATGTAGAACCGATTCACTCATCCGTGACTGTCATCGCGTGCGTTCTATGTTCTACTTCAAATCAGTTTCAGTGTTTTATAACGAGGACACAGACTGCAGACGCACCAATTTTTAATACCGTACAGTCCTTGTTCTGGCCTAAATGCAGATTCTGCGAAAATTACCGTTACACTGCCAACATGACGTCATTACGTTTTACATCTTCTCAAATCGGAAGCTCCCTATTTTTATACCTAGTTTGATAAGCTTTTTGTTTAGTAAACTATGGTTTGATAAAGCTGTTCCTTAGTATATTTCACTTACACACTTTTTCTGTATAGTCTATGGACACATTTTTTCAAGGCAGTAAATAAATCCCAGGGCTGTACATAAATTTCCTAAGTTGTATGTAGATTGAGCTCTTCCTTATCGCATATTAATTGTAATACTGAATGAATATAAATTAAAGAAATTAATAACAGTCTGTACTATTAACATTCAAATAGATGGGAGGTAAACAATGAATACCTTAAGAAAGCGAATGAATAATTATTATAGATGGATTTTATATAACAAACAAGAAAGATTTTCTGCTTGTACCAATTGCCTGAGTTATGTAGATTGAGGAGCTCAGCTCTCTCTTTGTTGTCGAAATAAAGACACATTTGTGACATCACTGCTGTTTGTGGCAATACACATACAGACAGATCTTTATCAGCGTTACTGCCTACAGGGAAACTAAGACGGATCTGTGTAATGATAATGTCAATGGTGGTTCTTATTTCCCTCGGAGTAAACTTTAAAGGTTCTGTTATTCCATAACATGACATGTTTGACATAAGGCTGTCAATGAAATGATGATTTATTTATTTTATTTCATTCTCTAATAAAGTGAATGGTGCTCATTATAAAAGGCATACTGAGTGCAATGCTTTTATTCTTGATGAACTATCCACTGTTGGTTATTTACCACATTTCTCTACCAATACACAATAATGTATTTTAATTCTAGATTTTAATCAAATGTTTTATTTACTAAATATTACATGTAATTAATTATATTTTAAAATGTAAGTGTTGTCAGTGACATGATTTAAGAAGCCAGTGGAAAGTAAATCTTTTTGCTTCTATGATCATCAGAAATTCTATTTCCTTTGATATGCATATCAATAGTCAACTGGCAAACCAATGTAACCTAATCTGTTTTTATGTTTGTTCTTTCAGTGCCGGGCCAAAGGGAGACAATATCTATGAATGGGTATCCACGATCCTAGGGCCTCCAGGCTCTGTCTATGATTCAGGTGTGTTCTTCCTCGAAATCCACTTCTCACCGGAATATCCATTCAAACCACCAAAGGTAATTTAGAAATTGATTCTCATTTAATGAGTGTACCTGCACTTACATGATGAAATTGTCAATGGATGCTCTATAAACACTGTGTCATTATGAGTCTTCGTAGTACAGTTATCTCCATAATCATAACATTTGAATGAAATTAACCCAGAAATGTATTTTCTTTATTATTTTTTTTTTATCAAAATCACACTTGACAACTGTAAACCCAATATTTACAGAAATAAAATATAGTAATAATAATATATATTAAAATAAAGTGTATCAAAATATGATGAAATACATTGATAACTAAAGAATAACTAATGCATGTATTCAAAAATTCATTCAAAACTTGTATGATTAAAAGTATCAAAAATAATCTAAAATATGTTAATTGAAGTCTTAAAGTCTTAAAAATGAGAGCATATTGTATTTGATATTCATGATTATTAAAATGTTGACATGGCCTTATTCATCCATCTGTAATTGTTTTAAACATCCTTAATAAGTCCTCATGTGATTTACTGTCATACAGTGCATTTTGTCATTCTAATCGCATTTTCTCTTCTTCGGAATGTAGTGTACGTGCAGTTGACATGACGTGATTGCTGCTATCACATTCTGTTGCGTACCTTTTTGCCATGCGATTGTCACAGGGATTCTGTGGTGTTTTTTTCTGCCACCTTGTGATTGCCGCTTCAGCATTCTGTGGTGTATCTTTGTGCCACCTTGTGATTAACGCATTGGCATTTTGTGGCGTGCCTTAATGCAAGATCAACGGCATTCTGTAGTGTACCTTGATGCCACCTTGGGATTGCCACATTGGCATTCTGTGGCGTTCCTTGATGCTACCTTATTATTGCTACATAAAGCCACCTTGTGATCAACAATTGGATAATATTATCGTTGATTTTGCTCTTCAGATAGGAATAGGCATTCAATTGTTATAGACATTTTAGTGTATAGTCAGTTGATTCTATTATATCTTGATCAATAATAGCACAAACATGGATTAAGTGATATGCAATCACATGCATTTGCACATACAATAATGGTGATCCTGTGAAAGAATGACATATTAATGTAGTAATTGGATACAAGAAGTTCATGCAAAGCAGCTATTACTTTGACCACATTGATCTCCAATTAACAATGCTACAAACGCACCTATGCTGGCATGTTTTCGACACATTCACATGCCTGAAACCATCAATCACAAGATAACAAAGGCAAATAAACTTCAGCAATATATTAATCTGTCATTTTTATTTTCAAAAAATTCAAGATTAATGACACCGAGTGTAATGGAAATTCATATTTTTCTGGGGAATTTGAGTGCTTCTTCTAGCCAATGATACATAGTTACCAACCGTCTTGCATCGTGCTACACGCATTTTGCAGAAACACATACATGATCATAAATTTGTCAGGCATTTAGCACAAGTCTATGTGTGACAACGAATTATCACAAATTCAGGGGAAAATTTATTTAAAATTAGAAGAAATTGGTTTTATTAGAAATGTAAAAATGGTCATGAGGTAGCTTGAGTCTTTAGAGAGCTTTCGTTATCTCGTTCGACAATCAATTAACTGAGAAAATTTCTCTTTCCCGACCAAAATAACAGAGCCAACGATGCACTTAGTAGAATCTAGTAGTCGTGTGCGGTCTTGCGTGTTCATTGTCACAACCAACCACTGATTATGTGACTGGAATCCGGGCATTAACTATATATTCATGACTTTCTAATATTCATGATTGATTATAAATAAAGTTTGGTAGTTAAATATACCAGCTGTCTCGTTAATGAGAATTAGTGTACAGACATTTACAGTTAATTAATGAGTGTTCTATTTGATATGAAAGAAAAATAAAACGTGTAATTTATTGTTCTTTTTTTTTTTAAGGTGACATTTCGTACTCGAATATACCATTGTAACATCAACAGTAGCGGTGCCATCTGCCTGGATATTCTTAAAGACAATTGGAGTCCTGCCTTGACGATTTCCAAAGTGCTTTTATCAATATGCTCATTACTGAGTGATTGCAATCCAGGTATATATGTTGTGTACACACTATGACGATGTAAAGGCATGCTCACATTAGAGGATTCATACTTTACAATGTTGTGAATTTGTTCAATAGAGTATTGTGTTGTCCTAATGGCATCCACCTTCTCGTTCATTCTTTTGCACTCTCTATTATTGATGTGTTAATCACTGTTAATCCTAATCCTTAGCTAATCCTAAGCTTATATCACCCTTACAGCTCAACTAGTTGTCATTAGTATGTCAAATTTCACTCTTGGTCTCATAAATACTTGCAATTATGAAGACACACCAACTCAACTCAACTTTCTTTTGAAGAAAATAAATAACTGCAAGCAATTTGGTAGAACTAGTTACACAGAGTACTTGCATTGATTCTGACTGTTTTGTCATGCAACGGCAACATTAAATTGGAAACATTGTGCTGTATATACTGTGTTGCTACTGTCCCAGAACATTCGTAGAACCTCAAATAGAAGCCCAATGGGCTTAATCTCGAGAAGAAGCCCATCTCAAATTGAAGCCCCCTTCTTAGTTTGCAAAAGTAGCCTTGAAAAGAAGCCTGTTCTTGTAAAGAAACACATGATTTCAAGATAGGATGGGCTTTTTTTTTCGAGTTAGTACAGTATATGCACATTAATTCCTAATATTTACAGATTCATTTTGAAAAGAAGCCCCTCTTTGCTTTGCAAACTTAGCCTCGAAAAGAAGCCCATCCAAAGCCCAGATCTTCATTTCGAAGTTTTACAGTATTTTAATTGCTTGTCTATTGCCAGGATATAAATAAAACAAATGGTGATATTGCAGTTGATTTTGTCAACTAATAATTCCCACAGTCTCTCTTACTATCACTAGCCAGTTGTCAAGGGTCATTTGATGTCAGTTGAGTAGAGTCTAAAGAGTAACATAACTCCAGCTTTATTAGTGTTTACAAGAGTAACTACATGATCTCTTAATCCTAATCCTGAGGTAAATCGGTATAGCTGACAGATTAACAACATTGGTTTGTTATATAATATTCTGATGATCATATCTTGCTATAAAAAAGCCTTCTTACAGACAAGTGATGACAACCTAATACCTAATGACATTTAAGTCCTTGTCTAACATCATAAACATTCTTAAAATTACTTTAAACTTTGAAAATAAATTTGAATTTTAAAAAATCCTCCGTTAATTTTCGGACAGATAAATAGTTTCTTTCCTGTATTCTTTTGCATTGATCCTTAAATTAGCTGGTAATCAATTAAAGGATGTTTGTAGTAAAACATCTATAAATCGGTAAAAACTAATTTTTTTCGATCTATTTCTTATTTTAAGCTAAAAATTTATTTGATCCTTTCAAATGATATTCAAAATTATATTAACATTTTTGAGGTATTTTGTGTCTTTTTTGACTGATAGTACATCTTTACGACATTTAAACATGATTGTTGAAAACAACACTAAACATCTTGGTATTATTAGGCCATGTGCTACACCAGGTGGGAGTTGCATGTGCACCATTCTTCTTCACCCACCCCTTGCTCCCGCCCCCCCTCCCCAATAACAGTTAGCACAAAATTCATAAGCTTCAAATCTAACAGCTCTTGTTACACACTGCATACCTAACCTCTATAGTAGTTATGTTTTATTTATCATGTATGGAAATTCTGTGTATTAACATCCCTATAACTAGCCTTAAAACATTTTTTAACTTCCATCGTTGAAATTTCATATGCATTGATGAATGGCGAGCGGATGTGAAAATTATTGCTCATCTATTTTGCATACATCTAGTTTGCTTGGTTTCTCATGTACGTGATACAAAGCATTTCTGCAACATGTTCTCTCTCATTGACTATTGCATGCAAGCGTGGCTGTCAGCATAATTTAAATTCAATGAGGCAGAGGAGCATCAAAGTGATCACAGTAGGACAACCGATAGGCGATTTGACCGTTATTTCACGCTTTTTCGATTTTACTTCCGCGTTTGCTTTCCAAAGCGCCACCTATCGTTCATATACGTAATCACGTTCTAGCGTCGCTAAGCAAAAAATACAGTAGATTTATCTATGTTCTTATTTACATATAATGCCCGCCCATTACTTCCTTATATGGTAAAAACATTTCCAAATAAGTCTAGTTTCGGAACCAATCAGAGTTGTTTGGGAAAACCCACGTTAACACAAAGCATTTATCGATTGAAGTTGACGCATGTGAAATAGTGAAAATCTTCTCCATAGTCGGATTTGCGTCCCCGGGAATCAATATTTTTTTGAAGTATTGATTTATCATGTTTAATCTTAGTTTAGTCGGGTAAGACCTGTCTCAAATCTGTTCAAAAATTGTTAATCATACTTATAGGCCGTAAAATTCTAGGCAATATTTTGAGCATGTGTGAGCACGCGGTAGTCGTTGCTGAGTGGCCTCGGGCCGCATGGTGGTGCGATCCATTGTTGTACTAGCCTAGGAGTAGGCGGCTGACATTGAAGGCAGACTGAGGCTTTGTTAGTTTAGGATAGACCATGTGTACTACTGTATTTATTTCCATCTAATTTCAATAATCATACTGATATTACCAGCCTAGCTAGCTAGCCAGGATTTATTTTAATGCTATAATAGGCATATGTGATGTCTATATAATATTTGATGAAACATACACAGTAGTACAAAGGATAGGGCCAGGCATAAGATTAGAAGACACAATAATACTACAGTACTTTTATTTATTCTATTTATTAAAATTGGGCATATTTCATATACAAAAACGCATGAAAATGAACTACAAAAAAACAAAAAAACAGACAGGTTAGCGGAATACCAAAAGAGAAATGGGCTTCTTAAAGCCTGGCACCAAAGAGAATTCTCTCGAAACCGCTAACCTGCAAAAAAAAAAAGACATAAAAAACAAGGTACAGCCTCTATCACTAGTGTAGTTTGTTTCACAAAATATTATTTCGGGCATTGTGCTTGAGATACAATAACAAAATAAAGTTGCTGTCGCAAGCACAATTTGATTCATGTTATAATAATTTTAATTAATGACTCAAGGCTTTAGTGTTAGTAAAAAATTCCAAAAGCATACCAATCTCTATATTATTGAATACATTATATTTTTGTAACCAATATATTTTATTTATTTTTAGGCACACCAATTTCAGATTCTGTACCGATTTGCAGACGATGGTTATGAACCTGCAATGTTAAAAACTTTATAATGATGCTTAAGGATTCAACCATTGAACTCTAATCTACTCAGAATGCCGCAAATGCAGCAGAATAGCCTGCCTGTGGAAAAACAAAAACTTGCTTAAAAAAAAAAAATTAAAAACCACTGCAGCAGTGTTGTAATATTGATTAAATTTTTTTTTTAAATACAGGCTTTGCTTTGTTTATAAAGAACAATTGTCTTCATTATTATTATTGCTATTATTACTTACAGAAGAAATAAGCAAACTAATTATGTTTAATGCTTATACAAATATAAATAATTTCTTATTTTAGTCAGATTTTTTAGTACAGTACCAACCAAAAAATATCATTATCAAATACAGTACCACCATGTATATTTATATTCCATAATAAAGAGATCGGCTAGTATATACATGTGAATGTGTACTATGTATTAAAGTATTATTTGTTACGAAGTATTGTTATAAAAATGTTGTTTTATGTCCTAAAAATCGCATATATTGAGTGAAATTGTGAATGTCAGTGTTGCAGGATTCTTCTCACGACCTAAACAACTCCACTCCCTAAACCTCAAATTGAGATTTAGTTTGTGTAAAGCATCGTGTTGTGTATGTGTTTTGTTTTGTGAAAGGGATTGTCACCTACAAGTAGGACAGTGATATATTCGCTATTGACAATCTTTGGTGCATGTGTTGTGTGCCTAAATAAATAAATAAAATAAAGTTAATAAAAAAAAAATTAATAATAATGTAATAATAATAATGTGGGGCTCCCTAAAGGAGTTTTGGTGTTTTTAGTTGGCAATGAAAATAAACAACTTATGAATTTCTTTTTTATAAGTTAATTATGCAGAAATATAATTAATTACCAAATGTAAAAATATACCAAAAGATAATGATCATAATATTTTGCATTTATTATTACTGCAGACTTAAAATTTGAATAATTTTATTTAAAACAAAATCACACCAAAAATGTATATATTATGGTAATAAATATAACATACATTTGCCTCTAGATTAAATTATACATGCATCTGTATCCAGCAGTATTTCATATTAATACCATAATATTATCACGTTTCCCTTTAAGTGCACAATTGATTAAGTGCTACGTGGCCTTGCATACTTGTTCTTGTTGATATTAGCAACATTGCTCATATAATGTTATTAATGGTATTAATTTGTGAGTCTTCTTAGATAATGTACTTCTAGTTGTCGGTGATAGCTACCACTTGAATTTTACACCAATCTATACACCCAATCAAGGCCTTTTTGATGGCTAGGTAGTAATTTTCAGTATCAGATATAGAATATATTTGTGTTGTATTCTTCCTCATCTTCTTTGGTTGAATAAACTTACAGGATTATTTTCCTCATGGCAAACCATTACTATAGTATAGGATGTTTATATATCATTATTAAGAAGTGAATATGAATAATAAAGATGACATTATCTTGTGAGATAATTTTTTATTATTTTGGGTTGGTTATAATATAAGTAGAACCTCTTGTAATATACTGGTGCTGTATTCATCCTCATCTACTTTGGTTGAATATGCTCACCATATTTGCTTCAGCTAATCAAGAATTATATTCCGCATGTTTATATAATAATGAAAGTCAATATTAATGATATGATGAATTAGCCTGTGAGGTCATCCTTTCTTAGGCCCTATACAAAATATTATTAGTTTATCACCCTATTTGGGCAGGAAAAGTGATGAGGGAGTTAGGCTTTTTTTTTTTAATTTTTTATTTTGCTAAAGCCAAATATCACCCTTCGGTTGTTTGCTGGTGCATTGATATTCAAAGTAAAACATGATTTAGATAATGCAAACAATATCTACTAACTATTTAATAAAATAAAAGAAAAATTTTTTTGTTAAATTTTGGTTTTTTTTCAAAAATTTTTTTTTTCCAGTACCATAGAAGACATCCGCGCAGGGGTGATAAATTAATAATTTTTTTTATTGGGCCTTATTATCTTGGGTTGGTAACTGTACAAGTAGAACTAAAGAGTACAGAACTGTAAAAGGTCCGACTGTCCTCATTTTGTATGCACACAATGAACATTTTTAAAAAGTACTACCACGAGATAGGGGGCGCACTATTAGAATTTGAATAGAGTTTGCTCAAAACTTGTCTTTTGAAGGACACGCCCCTTCGTGGTAGTACTGTTTGAAATAGGATTACACTACCACGAGTCAGACCTCTTGCAGTTCTATACTCTTTGGTAGAACCTCCTGTTTTAAATAGTGCTATATTCTTCCTCATCTTCTTTGGTTGAATAGGCATACAATTTTTGCCTCAGCCAATCAAGAATATAATACTCAGGATGTTTAAAGTATAATAATAAAAGTTAGTATTAATGATAAAGATGACATTAGCTTGTGAGGTCGTGTTTTATCATCTTGGGTTGCTGGACTGTATTTATTAAGTACATGCAATATATCATAGCTGGTAAAGGTATTAGAACGACTTATCAGTGACATATGACTGCGACATTCCCCTAGGTTCTTACTTCATAATTTAATGTGACCCCAACTTAATCCCATATGCATGTTGAAAATGTAAACATCTTTATGTTTTGAAGCAGTGCTTGCCTCGTACATCTTATTGATTTTATTCAAGTTCGTTTTTATTGTAAAATCGATACATTACAGCTAGAGATTTTCAGTCATTGGAATGGGAAATTACAGATCTAATGTGTTGTTAAGCTAAAATAAAACTGAAAAAATAAAATAAAAGAATTTACAAGTACTGTAATAAAACGTTTGAATCAAATCTTTAGTAAATTGTAATCTTTCTGCCAGATCAAATAGGTCCACTAGTTTTGCCTTCTTGTATATTTTTATTAAGTATTACTGATGTTACTGTGGCAACTATAACACCCAAATTATCTAACATTAGTCATTGTTGTATTCCCACACCACAAAATAGGCTTAGGCTAGGCCTAATACATATTGGGCTTGTTTGCAACTACTGTCTAAACTTGTACTTATAGTCTTAATAGTTTCAGTGGCGGATTTAGAGGGGGCGTAAAGGGCGTACCCCACCCTTATTTTTTGTAAAAAGTAATTTTTGTAAAAGCTTATCAGAAAATAACCATGCTAAATGTTAAAAATCAACCAAATACAAATTAAAATTAATTATGGTGCTAGAGGATTAAAGGGGATTTGCCCTTTGCACCCCTACCAGGGGCTCTTCCATGAGACTTCTACTTAATTTGCACATTCACGCCCCCTCTTTCTTACCAGGCTAGATTCGCCCCTGTAATTGGCGGAATTCTCGCTGTTGGATAGACGTCTTTATAATCATGATAGATGAGTGCTTAGTCAAAATTACATTCACGTCTGCTAATGATAGCCAGTGGCTGTGCTGCGGAGGAAAGGGGGAATTTTTTGATAAAATTGATTAATTAACCATCTGAACCCTAAAACCAATATTTTCCAGGGGGCTTCGCTCCCCAGACCACATTTGAAACATTTTGAGTGATGCTCGACCACTAGAATTTTACCTTGCCCCCTCAATTGAAGCCCCTCCCCCCAGATTTCAGACGCTGACGTCGCCACTGATGATAGCCTTGACTATCCAGTATGGCATCCCAGAATTTATGTCAGCATAAAGATAGATCTGGTTGAAATATAAATATTCGCAATTCACTTTTAATCTATATTGCAGAAAATTTTTTAACAATTATTTTGTGCTTTCCAAATTGGAAGACACCATTTATAATAGTGAAACACATTTGAGAATCGTGAGTGTTAGTTTGCAGTGACACCCCCCAGAAGTCAAAATGCAGATGCAATGCGTTCCTTATGTTTTTAATCTGATTATTATCTGTGATAAGAGAACAGTTTCTCTCTTTATTTTCAGTAGATATATGCCCTAGGATAGAGGTAATTAAGGTGTTTTAGTTAATTAAATAATGATTTTAAAAAAAATTCCTATTTTAAAAGCTTAAAAACAATAATGGTACTTCAGTTAAACTGGTATTTGCAATAATAATACTACTGGTGCATTACCTATTAACACATGCATTACTGTTATGCATTAAATTACTTGATGTTCAATCAGTGTAATTAACCTAGCAGCTTGGTCATCAGCATGAAGTCCCTTCAAAATGCCACGCAGTAGACTGTCTGCTGCCCTCTCTAGTTTACACATCTGTAAAAGTTAACCATTATTAGATGTACATACGTTTTAATTCTGAATTTCATCATGATTTTTTATAGGAAAATTAAATTTCTCAATAAAATCAAGCAATATCTTCCAGAGATTTTTAAGTAATGAGAAAAAAATAAAAAAACGTGGTTGTTGCATGGAAAATGTCTTGGTATTTGGTCATTTTATTTGTGTATGATTTAGATTAACCCTGTCTTTTTTTTTATTTCTATCTGTAGATGATCCACTTGTTGGCAGTATAGCAACTCAATACCTAACTAATCGTCAAGAACACGACAGAATTGCTAAAAGCTGGACAAAACGTTTTGCTCAATGACATTTTTTTGAGATAAAACTCTGCGCGAATAGAATATTAAAGATAAATAATAAAGACATTTTACCATTTTCCCTTGGAAAATTAAACTTGCCAAGCATACAGGAGTGAAATTATGAGGGAAAAATTATGTAGGATACAATTTTAGAAGAGTGCAGATGTATGCAAGATGCGTCGGCACAAACGATGTTTAGCACGGCAACAAGAGTATCTTTTTGAAGCAGTATTGTTCCATTTGGACCAGCAAATCATTGATATTACCATTCTATTTGTTTTCGGTCTCCATACCGAGAGTATTGCAACGTGCGGAAACAGAAGTATGTTAAAGACACATCCATCTTTGTAATCATCTCGTGTTTGTAGTCTACAGCGTTCCTTGTTATCACTTTAGTTATGTAGGTATTGCTGGCTTGTTTAAATATGTGCTAATTTCATATGTATATACATTTTTGTTGTCTGTTACTTTATAAGATAAGCTTGGTTTCCATACAGTCACAACACGCCATCGCCAACAGCTTTCGGTGATGCTGATTGGTCGGTCGAATTGGGGTGCCTTCCTGATTGTGTCAGCAGTATGATAACAACACTGAAAACACTGTAGTAACAGTGTAGCGGCAGTGTAGCGATTGTATGCAAACCAAGCTTTAAGCCAGTTGCTGAGTTTAAAGATAAAGAAATAATTAGGTATTAGATAAAATAAAAATGGCCTGAGTAGGAAGTGAGTAACAGTTTGTCTTTCCTTGGTATATATCAATTAATCTTAAATGTTAGGCTGTTTTGAACTTGGATTAAAACTTAAGCTTTCAGGTTTTAATGCAAGGAAATGTGTAATATTGATTTCTAAGATTAATTATAGTATTGTAATCTTATCATTTGAGCTTACACACAAATTGAATTTCTCCAAAAGTTGTTGGCATTTAAATCTCAACTATTATCAGGAGGTGTAGAGCCTTGTCTAGACTATAAAATTTTATTTGACAAAAAAAAACTGTTGTATGTCCATATATAGTCATGATGTGATGTCATCATGACCATATTTAGGCATGTCACATGTTTTTGTCAAATAAAATGTGATCATCTGGACAGGGCTTGGAATTATATGTAAATTTACGATTTCTTCAGTTTTTGTTATTTTCTTTTGTTTATTAAGGATTAATAAAGCAAGATTAATTAAAATGGCTTTTAAAGTAGATGTGAGAAGCTAATATAATTATTGTCATATTACAGTGCATTCATGCCTGTTGAATTTTAAGCTGCCTTTCCTTAATAGGCTTTGTAGCTGTGATGTCATTACATTCATGTAGGGCCTATTGAAGAAAATCTGATAATATATACCGTAACTAATGGTTCCTTACAAAATATTTGATGATTATTGAAAAGACCCACATATGGTATAGCTATGACCTAAGATTATTGTTTAATCTCTAACATCCAAAAGATTAGCATTATGATTCAAGGTTGTCACACACATGCCAGTCAACTAAGTGATTGATTCACAAACTGAAAGACCTAGGATTAAAAAAGAAAAAACAGTAATTATTTATATAACAATTGGGTATAGAATGGAATATTTTGTGCAATATTACATTCTTACTAATTTTTCTTTTTAACCTTGTAATTCATTATTTACCATGAACAACCAGCTTCATCACATTGATGATAAATGCTAAACAGTCTCACGGTTTAACTGCTAACACCCTACTGTATAGCATATCTTTTGGAAATCGTTTCAAGTGGATGTACAGTAGTTTCCTTTTGTCAGTTAAACGAGAACATGCAAATCTACCTCTGTGGTTGGTCAGTATGGACAGAACGCTCGATTCTGGCTTTGCTATGGGTCGGTATAGATATAACACTTGATCTGTACCAGCCAGTTGCAGAGCATGTACAAATAGAACGCTCGATCTGGGCTTTGCTATTGGCTAGTCCAGATACAACACACGCAATCTTAGCTCTGCTTTTTGCCAGGTAAAGTGAATTAGGCAAACCCATCTGTACTATTGGCTGGTTAAATTGCAACACACAAATCTAAGATACAACACTAAATTTTGGCTTTGTTATTGGCTAAATTGAAGAGAAGCCGGCTTTGCTCTTGGTTAAATAAAGTTGAATGTAAAAAAACATGTTTTCTATTAATAGTATGTGGACAACAATACTCAAAATAAGGCTCAATGATTGGCCAGTTAAGATAGCATATTCAAACCTGCCTTTGCTATTGGTGAGTACAGTAGTACTCGGTGTGATCGGCTTGTATTAAGATGTATGATGCACTTTAAGAAATAGGCATGTTTAATATCCAATGCACCTTGTATTATATATAGCACATGCTTTAGCTAAAGCTCCAAGTTAGTCAAAGAGAAGATAGAATCATGCAAGTGAAGCAGTATTGTCATGTTTTATGAAGTTCAATCAGTTTAAACAGACACCTGCAGTCACTTGCTGCCCATACAATACATTTCATATAAAAAAAACGTCTCTATTGAGTATGATTTTGTTATAAATTATGTTTGTATTTAATACTATTATTAATATTTAGCATAATTATTTCTAGTAGAGAAACTACAGTGTCGTAACTACATCCTTTCTGTGTATTCTAGATAATTTTACGGTCCAAATTTTATGGCTAAGTTCATCCTGTGGGCCATTCAATTGAAATGGTTCCTTTCATACCTAACATAGGGTATTATTTGTGATGTGTGTTAACTTATAATGCTGTTGAATGGTTCCTTTTTGTACCATGTAAAGCGATACCATTTATAATGTGTGGTTCCTTTGTGTACCATGTGATATGATACCATTTCTGATGAACACATAAACAGTAATCATTTTGTTTTTAACACATTAAATAAATGTTTTGGTAATTCCAAGGAAGGAAAAATATAACCTGCAATTTTACAGTACATGATATACATGTTATGTTGTTCAGTTCATTTCAGGCCAGTCAGTCACGAAAGTGCTTAATTTAAAAATGTAAATGTTGTTTATTACTTTTTTATTTTCACAAGTTTTTATATGTTGAGAATCAAAATGAGACAGTTAAGTAATAGATTAAAAGTCTAATGGAATTATAATTCAGGATAAATATTACATTTCCAGAAATGACAGAATAAATCATTAATTTATTACTACTGGTAGTAGATATATCCATTGGGATAAACAATTTAAAGCTGGTGCAATACCTGAATGAAATTCACGAAATTAGCATTTAAACCATATTATTATTTTTCTTGACAAAGGTTGAGATAAAATTGGTTATTTTGCTTGTGAGATGGAATCAACAAAGTAGATTGCACACTTTTTTATTCAGTTGTATGGTAGCAGCATTTTGGAATGTTAGCCTACAAAATTGTCACTGCTTATCTCAACATGTTTATTGTTTTTGACATTACCATCAATTTAGCGTAACTTCTTGATGTAGAGGGCAGTGTAACTTGTGTAATCGTGCTTCCATCCAACCTAGCTTTCATTAAACTGTATCTTAGTTACAGTCTTTTTATGTTTAATATGATTCTGTATTCTACCTTCATTGCATTTTAGATGACAAATTAATTTCCTGCTGTTATATTGTCAAATTGTAAGGTACATACTATGTACATTATATTATAATATTGGATGCATGACATAGAGGTAGAGCTACAAGCCATACAGCATGGATTCTCATCACAAATTTATTGATTATTTTTAACATGGCAAGAACCAGTGTTGGTTACTAAAGCAACCAATATTGGATATTCAAAGAATAAAGCAAAATAAGTTATGAAGGATGTGACTTATTTTACTTTCTGTCATTTATTAAATATAGTGAGGATGAATGAGAAAAGGTAGCTTTTGAAAAATTTAATATAAACATGATCAAAAACAATAGTAAATGAGTTAAGGTGGATTATAATATAGTGCAATATGGAACATCCAAACAGATGCCTGCCTTTGTGCTATATATCCTGGGACTGTGCAATAGTAAATTACATATATTATTACTGTATTCATTTTAAACATTATTTTCATTGATACTAATACTGTTATCTTTGCAGTACCAATTTCAAATCAGGATACAGAATTAAGCACCAAGAATAATTTCATAATGTCAAACAGTTGATGCGGGGGAGTTGGCACAATCAATGCAGTTTAGTTCCTCAACCTTAAATTTGACACGAATCCGATTTAATTGCTGATGTGCACTGATTACAAACTAGAAAAAATAAAGGAAGAGAATGTTCCATAGGGATTTGCTCAATGATGGGAGTAATTGTGTGAATTACATAGAAGCCTTGGGGTGCTGCACATCCGACTGATGTGTAACTTTCTCTTACTATACACACAATGAATGTTTATTGCTGTAATTGGATAGAATATTTTCAATTGATGATGGATGGAATCGTCCATTTAATGAGTCGTAGTTTAAATGGAATGTACCGGTATATCTTTCACCAAATAACATATTCCTACCCCATTGTAATGAGAGACATTAATTAATAATGTACTGTATTTGCTTTATACAAACAATTGTATAAAGAGGTTTGTTATTTGCTAGGTAAACTTAATACAGTAGCCACAATCCCTTCTAAAAAAGTTAATTCAAATCCAAGTGGAACTTTATGTAGAAAAATGTTTTCATTGGCAGTTACAAAAAAAAAACAACACATTATTTTTCACAGATTAGGTAATAAATTTATTTTGCCACATGAAAATATCAACCATACACATTTACATGAAAAATATGAATCAAAAGACATTGACTGGTGGTTAAATAAAGACAAAAACAAATGAAAAACAACAACAAAACATCTACTTTTTATAAATGCTTTTGGACTCCAAAATGATCATGGTTTATGTAATGGCACTAACAGTGTCATCAAGTTAAATGACTTGCTTGTACTGTTGGAAAATGGAAAGCTGTAACATGAAAAAAATCCCAGAATTAATTTGTTTTAAGAGCATTATTATGCATTAATAATCCATAGTCGAAACACTTACATTGCAGTGAATACCAATGGTGGCATATCAAGTTTCTCTGGGGGAGGTTTGTAACTAGAAACAAGTGTACAGATAGTACCACTACTACCTTTGGGGTGTTACTAAACCTCCCCAAGGGACATTTGTTGTGATAACCTGTGAGTAATATGTGTTGCATAAGATCTAAAACAAAGCTACAGTATAAAGAAAATAGTAACTGATTATTTAAGATTTACAGCATAAAATGTATCAATAACAATATATATATGATAAAAGATTTACATTAATACATATATCAGGCATTTTATTACAAACAATTGATAATTGATTAATTATAGTAACTAATAAATTATTATTAGTGTTATCAATTATCAAGAGTCTATGAATAAAATCTAACAATCAGGAATATTGTTATAATTTCTGACATTACAGCTACTAAGAGAATAAAGATATTCCAATGTGCAAACTTAACACCTCCAACCTACAGTAAAAGCAAGCAAAAATATGTTGCTAGCCATGGGTATCAATGTGCCCAGCTAAATACAAGATCCAGGGTTGCCAGAGCCAGTCACATATAGTAAGTTGTGTTATGAAAGCTCATTAAACCAAATCTCTCTGAAATTGCTTCCCAATTGTAGACCTGTCTCAAATACAATAACACATACTGTAGGCAGTAGACTGAATAGTTTCAAAACAACAAGTACTAGATCAGTTTTTATCAAATCTGGAAGAATTAATTCACCAACAAACTTCAAGGTTGGTGATCTATCAAATAAATGCACTTTTGAATTTGTAATAACATAAGTAATTAATCTGTTTTCAGACATGAATTCATAATTCCAGCATCCAACATTTTTTTTTTGTTGCTCTTTTTTTGTTACACAAAAAGAAAAATGTTTTCATGAATGACTTATTTTACACGATTCGTAACAACACTGAAATCTTCCAATGGATTATTTATTATTTTATTACTTTTACATCTGGCCACTGGATGCAGAATGATCCCTTCACAACGTGCAACCTTCAAACTCGCTGGAGGCCCATGACCAGAGGGCTGCTGCTATTGTTCAGCCAAACCTCCATTTTGAGTAATCAATCCCCCACTCATAAACCAAACTTTCCCCTTTCCTTTGTGAAAAAAAAAACATTGAAATAATAATAAAAAATCCCCATTTACATGCTAGAATTTTTCAGCCCCAGGTTTTCAACCCCACAAAGGCTGTTCTAGAACTCACTAGGGCACATCTTGGCCTATGGCTACCATAGGAAACCACCTCTTAATGAATCTTGGTTATGAGCCTGAACCAGGCATGTGATATCATAGATCATGCTTTTTCATTCTCTAATTATTTTACTGTTAACACATGTGTGGTACTATGAAAAGTATACTAATTGTATTAACATCATCCATGTCAATCTCCATATTTCCACCAAGATTCAGTTGTATATTTGTAGCATATGAATTACATCTCATTTGCAAAGTAGGACAGGTAACACTGCAATAATTTGACAACTTTTTTACATGTTAATTTTGCAATTAAAAATGTAATTTGCTGTATAAACAAGTTATATATTAGTCCTACCACACTTTCATTTATTACATTATTAAATAATTTGAGAACAATGTATAGTAATAATCATGTGTACCTACTGTAATATTAAGTGTTAATATTAACTCTTGCACTGTTCCTTGAATCAGTAACAGCACCAGAGTTTCCCCAACAGCACTCCCATACCCCCCCCCCCCCCCCCCCCCTGGCTCCACCACTATCTAGAAGATATATTAAAATAGATTACAAAAGAACTTTTTAGAAATCCTTTTGGATTTCAATCTTGGATTAAGATACATATTCCTGGATTCTAAGGTGGAATACTTTTTAGCAACATGTTCAAAAAAGGTATAGGCTATAAAAAGTCTATATAAACACACAATTTTCATCTTTCAAGTTAATCAACCACCTTCCCCAATTTTATACCCACTAGAATATTTCATTTCAAAATAGAAACAAATCTTGTTCATTGTTCTAGTGGCATTCTTGGCTCGGTCACAAACAAAAACCCCACTAACCACCCATCTTATTAATAAAATAATTATGGTAATGCTGTGCTTTACACTTTAAAAATCCAGGCCCTCAAAATATTGCTATATATCTAGCAATAAGGACAGCCCAGAAAGTTTTCTGTAAATAAAGCCATTTCTTTGGCCATTGAAAATAGAACAGAAAGATCAATTCAACACGGTTGTATCATCAGCTGCTTAATAGTTCCTTAAAGCAATCCTGTATTTCTGTTTCTACTTCCATTCAAAACTGCTCTACCTGGGCTTTCCTAAAATCTCTCTTGTAACTCTGCTGAGGTTGTGGGGCTCTGGTTAGAGAAAGGTTAAACCTGGATTCAATATAGGGCATAATTCCTGATGACTTTCTGGAAGTTGTTAACCAAACTGGAATGAGTAGCCACTGCCAGGATAGGAGTGATAGCCTCCGTGACCACCACTGAAGCCATGACCACCACTAAAACCATGGCCACCGCTGAAGCCTTGGCCATTACTGAAGAATGCTTGAAAAATATTATTGGCATCAAAGTCTGTGATAAAAAAAAAAAGAAGAATTAAATCAATGAATGATTTCATATGTTTTTAACTTGATTAATGTCACTGTAGGTATTTTATGAAGACACCCACCTTCCAATCCAAGGTATAAAGTAAAGGTAGAAGAATAACCCATAACTTGCAGCGTCATTGTGCTGAATTGCATATGGGCGTGGTCCGTGACTACCTAGCAGCCTTAAAGAGGTGCTTATAGTAGCTACATGTTCACATCATTCCACGACAGGGTGTGGGTTCAAATCCTTGAAAGTAGTTGCGGATAAGCGGTTCCACAGAACCCTGTTACAGGGATCCTGGACCCCCTTCAATAAACACTGCTTTGTAAAAGCATTTTTTCTGTCGGAGAGAGCCATATCTGGGGCCTATTTTAAGCCTACTCTTAAAATTTACATTAACCATGGTGTACCTAAAGTGGGGGTACAGACCATATTCAGGAATCCCCCAACCACTTAATTGGAAAAGGTACACATTCTTAAGACAGTGAAGAATGTACTGAACAGAGTGGTAAATCTTTGAATTTTAACCAGTAATCTATCGGCAGGCCAGTATTTGGGCATTAACACATATAACATTTCCATACTGTTAAATAAACAATTACTACAAACTTGCCTGCAAATCCATTACACATATCATCCAAATCTTGTCCCGAGTCGTAGCGATATTTTTTCTTCGGATCTGATAATATGTTATAAGCTTCACCAACTTCTTTGAATTTGATCTCCTCTTCCTTGCGTTCCTCCGGTGATTTGCTGGCATGCCGATCTAATAAAACAAACAAGATTATAATTTTTAATACTGCCACCCACTTTTTTTTTTACAGATTAATTATTCAAAATTTAGATTTTACAATTTTATTTACAAGATTAATTATTTAAAATTTAGATTTTACTATTCCAAGCACAACTTCATTCATCTATTATTATTTATAATGCACACAAAAGATATGCTATGTACTAACAGGATACCTAGTGGGCATACAGAATCCTTGAGAGATCACTAGGTGTCAGCTGGGGATATATGTCAGGCCAACAACTACTCACCTGGATGGTGGAGGAGGGCATGTTTACGGTAAGCTTTCTTAATCTCATCATCAGATGCATTTTTACTAAGGCCTAGAATCTTGTAGTAATCTTTTCGTTTACTCTTCTTAAGCTCTAATTTAGCATCCTGTAGTAAATGCCGGTGTTCTGAAAAAAACCAAAAAGAAATCAATCTTAATGCCGAAGGCTAAAGAAAAAATTATCAGTTTTTACAAAATTGAGATTTGGGAGGAAAGTTTTACCTTTTGATGGTTGCATATCAAGAACTTTTTCATAATCACGTACAGCTTCTTCATAGAGTTCCGTTTCCATGTAACTGAACAAAAATAATTAACTATAGTTATCAACACCAAATGATAAAAAATAATACAAATATTAATGAAAAAGTTTGAGGTATTATACAATTCTGCAAATCTTATAATTTCTTTGAAGATTAGATCTTGTTACCTAGTTGGTGCTGTTATCGAGTCCAAACAAATACTATCAATGAGGCACTTTGTCTAAATTTCTCCCACTCCTCCACTCATTAAAGTATGAAAGGTAGGATGCTGCAATGTTGAATGCACTACCGTATAACTAAAAATATGACCTAGAGTATTACTGATGCCAATTTAGATCCAATAAGAATGTTGTAAACACTTTTTTAATTCTCTCCATTCTTTCAATGCACCTTATAAAAACATCCAACATTAGTATTTCCTTCCGAAATATTTCACAGAGTGCATAAACTTACCATTTTGCACGCTTAAGAAATGCTTTTGTATACTTTGGGTCTAATTCTATGGCTTTTGTACAATCTTCAATAGCTTCGTCTGTTTTACCAAGCTAATTAAAAGGAAAGGAAAACATGAGCATGTGAATATGACCAACAAAAAAAATGAATTTTGGGAAAAAAAAAAAATTCAAATTACATTTGGATTTAGTGAGAATTACATTTAAATCCTAATGGAGATATCAACATAAAACAGTTACTTGTTGCTTGTTTTGCATATTTCTTTTCAGTTATGAAGCACTGTAAGTTTTTTCACTGGTCAGGGGGTCCGCATGCTTGAGTGCTGCTGCCATAGTGGCGCTGTAGCAGGCAACCCTACCAGGTAGGTGCCCATTTATACTCATGGTGGAGAGAAGCAATGAAGATAAAGTGCCTTGCTCAAGGACACAAGCGAAATGCACAACGAGGGATTGAAACCCCGACCTCGAGGTTGGGAAACCAAACTATTCCCCATGTGTCAAACTGTCTTATAACTTCTTCCTTAGTCATGTGACTTAACCAACCACTTGGTCACATGATAAAAAGCAATTCTGTTGACCATGTCTCAACAACAATAGGTAAATATTTATATCTTTTTAATAGCATGGAATATATTCAGTTTAACTCACCCGTGTGCCGACTATTGCTCTGTTAAAGTAGAGTTTGGCGTTTGTAAAGACATTAAGAGGGTCAATCTGGAGAGCTTCAGTGTACAGGTCATATGCTAATTGATTTTTGCCTGTCTTGAATGCAGTGTTGCCTTCTTCCTTCTTAATTTTCAAGGACTTGCATTTCTGAGAAAGAATAAAAATATGATAGTATTTATATACATGGATAGAAATGTAATAATAATAATAAGAATTTGCAATTTGTAATTATGTATGTAATTAGAATACATAATTAAATCTGAGTTTGTACTTTCTTTTCTCATAGCAAACTTACCTTGAAGGCTAATCTAGACTTTGTATGATCCGGTGCAAGTCGTAGTGTTTGCTGAAAGTGCTGTATTGCCTTTTCTATCATATCCTCATAGTAAAAACATAAACCTCTTACATAGATCGCATCAGCGTTCATCCCTTCCCTTTGTAATAAATCACTGAAAATATAATGACAAATTTGTATGTATTCATAGACAGATTCAGAAGGGGGAGGGGGAGAGGAGGTGGTGTTCAGCCAGCCTGGCCCATTACATTTTTCAAAATTAAGAAACAAATGGGAAAAACAAAATTACATTCAAATTTTTAGTCTGAAAGTGCCATTTCTGGCCATCTTAAAGTGCCAAAGAGATACAATTCCCTACCTCCATCTGTAAATTTGACTTCTTGCCTCCCCCCTCCAACATCTATTTACAAAGTCCTGGATCCTCCACTGGTACCACACAATCTTTTAAGATGTTGTTCGAACTTCAGTAAATTTGTGTAAATTTGCTTTTGGTCACAGCTCTATTGGAAAGTGCTTCTAATAGGCTATATTTTTACATATTTTCTTTTTAATTTGAGTTTCTTACTTTAAAGAAGTCTGTGCTTCACTGTATCGCTTTAATAATACAAGCGACTCTGCCCTTTGAACTTTGAACCTTGAACATGCTGGAGCGAGAGCTATTGCACGTTCCATACAGAAGAGAACCTAGGAAGCAAGTAAAATATTGGGATAAAAAAATATATAATAGGAGATATATAATTATATATTTTTAAATTCATATCTCATTCAAAATTGATAAAAGGTAATTTTCACATCATTCAACTATTTGAGCACTATTTTATGTGAAGAATTTAAACACAATTTTGGGGGCAACTGCTCAAATGAGATGGCCTACCTTTCTGAAATCACCTGAGTCATAGGCTTTCTGTCCCTCTGATATGAACTTGAAACAAGCTCTGGCTGTGACAAGCTGTAAACAGAATAAAATCAAGTAAAAATCCATAATGCTAATATTTGTTGACAACCTGGATGTCCTGGAAAATTAAATACAAACACTACAGGGCATTTCACACATATACATCAAGAGACCAATGCAACTAAATAAATAAAATCTAATATATTTAGAAAGATGAAAAGTTAATCAATTTAATTTATATATAATAATTAGTTGAAATAGAGAAGATATGTCCTGGTGTTTAAAGAATTTCAACCAAAGATTATGTAATTGAAAGACAAGCATCTCCACAACCACCCCAATCCCCACACAATCTACAATCAACTGAATTCATTTTAATTTATTTAACTTATGTGAGAAACCCCCAATTTCCATTAAGTTATTTAAAATTCAATGCATTAATTTTTCCATTCGATTACTTACATCATTTTTAGCTTGCTTGTTATTGGGGTCTAGCTTAGTAACTTCTTCTAGGGATCGTATGGCTCCATCAATCTCACCCAGAGCTAGGTGACACTTGGCCTCCCTCAGGTGCCCCTGTATGATAGAAAATAAAGAAAAAATTTAAAATATGTTTAAATATTTAGTATCTCATAAATAGATCAAAATGAAATTTAAGTCTTTTTTTTCTCGGGTCGAGGGGCAGGGAAGGCATTTCTTTTGTTCATTTACACAAAAAAAAAGAGTGGGCTTGCCATCTACAGGACCCAAGATAAAAACAAATTATTGGAACGCTAACAGAAGGCAGATGCACACAAGGTTTGGGGGAAAAAAAAAACTACAATTGCTTTTTATAACCTTCATTTGACATCATGCATGATTGCAGATGCTGATCATTATTATTTTGTGTTGCCTTTGATGTAAGCTCTTGAGATGAGTCTATACAGCTTACAACAGCATTATCTCTATTATATGATACCTTTACAAATGTTGGATCGAGTAAAACAGCAGTCCTTGCATCTTCTAACCCATCTTTAAATTTATCCAGCATTATAGAACAAGCAGCTCTGTTTCCATAGTAACTGGCACATTTGGGACACAGGTCTATAGGAAAAAATAAATTAAATTCAACATGTTTCAATTTATATATATAATCAATCTAATTATCAAAAATAATAATAATAATAATAATAATAATAGCAGTATTAAATTTTAACACACTGTAAAATTATGTACTGTTTATTTTTGTTTGAAAAGAAAATGTGCGTTGAAATGTAAAGTACCATGCATGGTTTAGGTCCCTACCCTCTTAAAAATTATTCATTCTTCCAGAAATAAATACAAATATACAATCTTCACAAATGCTGGTTGTTCTGCCAAATTGATAAAATTGCTTGAGGCTTAGTTTAGTAATCAGTAAAATAAAAAATAGTCAAAATATTATTATAAATATCATAGTATTCAAAGATCTACTAATAATTAATTAATAATAAAGTATAATAATCAAAATATTTAAATTTAATATTTGTTTTGGTAACTCAATTAAATATACAAAAAAACCCAATTCAAATATTGATTTAACTTTCTTTACCTCAACACAATTACCTAATCTCTTCCAGCAATGTAATTAAATTTGTCATTTTTTTTTGTAAAGAAAAGTGGAACAAAGGAGGAAAAAAAATGTATGACCTCAGTCATATTATCATTTTATTGATAATGCAGTATGTCAGGATACAGAATGATGCGACATGATTTTAATGGTTTTAAATGATTGTTAGATTTTCCAGCTAAACAGACATGTCAATATTATAAATAAAAATTAAATCAACATTTATTATTCTTACTTATAGCTTCTGTATACAGTTCAATAGCTTTTTTGTAGTCTTTCTGCACATAAAATGTGTTTCCTTCCGTCTTTTTGTCATTGGCTTTCCTAAGAATTGATGAAGACACAAAATATCAATAATAATAATGATAATTACAATAATAATAGTAGGTAATAACGATAGCAAGAACACAAACAACAATAAGTTTAATACAGTAATAATTATAATTAGGGGAGGGATAAATTGCTCTCACTGCACCCTTAAGATATACCCCAAAAAATTTTAATTTTAAAACATGCTGTGACTGACATCAAATGACGGGCTGCCTGTAGAAGTTTTAACTGGCAGGGATGGAGATCTTGATGTGTTTTTTGTAAAATTGTAAGTGTGCAGTGTCGAAGGGTTCCCATTCAAGAGAATTGGTGAAGATGATGACACATGCTTTTGATTTATAATATTCATCAGAAACATAACATACAATTACAAAATAATGCTCTCTTTTTCAGTTTGTTTAATCAATGCGATATTTACTGGTTGTGGAGAGAGGTATGGTACCTCATTAAGTCAATAGTCAAGACTGACAATTAATGAAATAGGACATAGTTTTATCATCATAAAGCAATTATCGATCAAGCATTAAGTATAGTATCAAGCAAGTATGTTTGTGCAAACATGAAATTAAAATTATGTCATCTTCAAACATTCTTGTCTAAAAGTGTACGTAGGCCTAAGCAGGCCTATGCCTTGTCACTAAAAAAAACAGTTTTGGCGTTTTTTCTGGTATTCATATCCGTCACACCAGAATTGGTCACATCATCATAGCTTTACCGCTTTATAGCTGTACACAGATTGTGTGTTGGCTAGAGAAGCTTCGAGAAAGAAGGACATTTCTTCAACAAAAAGTGTTCATATTCATAATCTACCACGAAATAATTAAACCTACTCTTCTGGTGTTCTTGTATCCTCTTCTATGATTTCATCTTCCATTGGTTCTTCTTCATTCTCTTCCATTTCAATGGGGAACTCTTCACTTCCAACTTCAACTGTAGTCGCCATGTTACCTAGCTGATTACGCTGTGTGAATAGTTTCTGCTGATTTCAAGACTAAAGAGGGCGGTACATAAATTTTCTACGATAATACTAAACAAAGATACTAGTATCTTAGCTAGAGAGAAAGGAGAAAGAGCTGCGGCGCGGGCAGAGAGAGCAAGTAGACCTGCGGCGGTGTGGCTAGGGTCTAGGCCTGGACGAATTCGGTTAACTTGTTCATTCATATAATATAACCAAGGTGAGCGGATTAAACTCAGTGGTCTGGTCTGATTAATAATATTCTATTTGTATTAGATAACTTAGTCCTTGGTTCGTTAGATTAGTTACTTGGATAGGCCCCTACTACTAGTCTAGTTAGAGGCTAGACTAGGCCTATGAATAGGATAGGCCTAGCTAGCCTAGGCGATCCGAGAGAACCTCCTCTAGGCATAGGCACCTATTAGGGGCCTATCTATTATGATGGATGCAGCTGTCCTTCCCTAGCTAGAGTAGAGGGCTAGCCTAGCTAGGCTAATTTTATTGGAAGCAGGTCAACTTGGCCCCAATTTACTGTTTAAGAATAAGGTAATTATTACCAAAAGAGATATGTTTCAATAAATAGGCCTAGTTGCTGTGGCTAGAAATATGGTACCGTATTTCTACTTCCATTTGCTAAAGGTACGATAATGGCAATGAAGTACCGAAATGTGTGTGACATCATCTTTCAAGACCGGCATTGGCATTGCAGATCGCAAGTTAAATTTCAACAAAATACAGTTGGTCTAGGCCTATCTCTCGATTCGGAGGACCGCAATCTACGTCACAATCTATGTCTATAACTGAAATATCTTTGTGATAGCTAATTCAATACTATTCCTTCAAAGACAAAATTCCAACATTTAAACACCTTTAAATTCCCTCTATTTTTTTTCTTATGTTTTTGTACGCACCTCAAAAACCATTCTCAACAGTAAACGCCCCTGAGCATTTATTCAAATAGATACAGTTATTGGGTATTCTAAAAGACAACTACAGGAACCAGTAATCATAAAAAATGTGGATTAATTTGTATTTTACGCGATTGACGTATGGTACAAAAATTAAAGCATAGTGGTGCTGCCTAGGCTATATGCCAAATCCTATTTTATTATTTATGCCATATGCCTAGTCAAATGTCTACTAATTATTTCATTCTATAAAGTATATATTCTCTCTGATCAGAAGTTGTTTAAATCTTGCTAGGCCTACTGCTACAAAGTATACTAAACTTTCATTACTGTGTTCAACAGGTCATTTTATAGTCAAGAGAAGACAAGAGAACCAGCAATATGTCAGAAAGAAAAGTATTAAATGTAGGTACTCCATTTTTTATAACAAATCAAACTTTGCCACTGAAAAACCATCACGCCTCAAAGCAGGCTTAAAGCTCTGTCCACACCTATATATGATCATGATGTGATGTCATCATGACCATATTTAGGCATGTCATGTTTTTGTCAAATCAAATTTGATAGTGGGGACAGGGCATAAGATATTCTCACAAGATTATTTCTACATGCTTTTTTCTCAGTTTTCATTTCTTGGTTTTTCACTTCTTTTTGACTAATTTTTTATTGTATTGGTGTTTGTACATTTTTATGCATTATATATTTGTACTTCTATTTTTGTATTACAATGGAGGAAGCCGTTGTAGAGGTGTTCATAACCTGTTGGCTTGTATCTGTCACTGTCTTGTGAGAAGTTTATTAACTTAAAAAAATAAGTAAATAAAAGTTATCGTTTGGAGTATGTATCCAATGTTACCATTGGTTGTTTAATGTTACTGTCACAGAAATTGTTACTGTTACTCAAATTGTTATATTAAATGCTTTTTGATAGAAATACTATCCACCAGACTTTGATCCATCAAAGATCCCGAAAGTTCATGCTCCAAAAAACAAGAAGTTCATAGTTCGTCTTATGGCTCCATGTAACATGAGGTATGTTCGTTTATTGTTTAACAGGAGTGGATCCAGAATTTTTACTTTTCAGAATTGATAAGGGAGTAGCGATAACGGGGGAAGGTGCCCCCTACCTGATCTGCGCCTGTTTAAACAAATTTTAAAATCATAATTTTGCATTTAATGTTTCGATGTCTATTGTTATATTATTCGTTATTATGGACATAATTTTTCATTACCATCTTCATTGTCATTGTCCTCGTAATTCTTATCATAATTTACGATCATCATTTTCAATTATCATTATCAGGCATCATCATCTTTTATCATTAATCCAACTAGTTATCATCTCTTTCATCATTATTGCCACAAATAAAATTAAGCATTTTTTAAAATTCAGCTTTAGGCACTAGGGCCAAGGATATGCAAAACAGAGAACTAAATCACTCTTCAAAGTGGCAATCCCATCACAAGACAAATTTACAAACAAAATGCTCTACATAGCATTATGAGGGTGGAGTTGTTTTGGTTGTGAGAAAAAAATCCTGTTACAGTGGCTAGAATTTATTCCAGGACCATGCAATTGGAATGAAAGCATCTTACCACCAAGCTATTCAACTATACCATCATCATATCGGCACCATAGTATCATCACTAAAATTGTGATTTTTATAGGCACAATCATCAACTTTTCAAATTACTTATATTTTTTTTTGTCCATTTTTCTTCCTGTATTCTCAATTCAGGTGCAAAACATGTGGTGAATATATCTACCAAGGGAAAAAATTCAATGCAAGAAAGGAAGATGTGTTGGACATGAATTATCTGGGCCTAAGAATTTATCGATTTTACATCAAATGTCCCAAGTGTGTGGCTGAAATTTCATTCAGAGTAAGCACAATTATTAGAAAATACACTTAATATATATATATACTGCACATACAGTAAATACATGGAATTAAATATTTACGAATGAATATACAGTATATAAAAAAATGAAAATATATATAGAAAGTACATATATAAATATGAAATGTAATGTATCTTTCCAGACAGACCCTGAATCAACAGACTATGTCGTGGAAGCTGGTGCCACCAGGAATTTTGAAGCTGTAAAATTACTAGATGCAGAGGAGAAGAGGTTGAAGAAACAACGGGAAGACGAAGAAGCCAACAATCCAATGAAAGTTCTTGAGAATCGAACTAAAGATTCCAAACAGGAAATGGATATTATGGAGAATATTGAGGAACTACGGGAACTTAACACCAGACAAGCAGATGTTGACCATTTCGGGATCTTGCGGGAAAAGGAAGAGGATATGAGAAGACGCCAAGAGGAAGATGATGAAGCAGAGATTAGGTTAGGCATGACATTTTTTTATACCTTGTTTCGTGAACTTTACACATTGTCAGAGGCTAGAAAAAAAATAGAAATAAAATTTTGTTTTCTATTTGGCAAATAGTTTTGCCAAAAACATCCAGATGAAGAAGAAATAAAAATAAAATTTTATTGGTGAATGTGAACAATATAATAGTGGAATGGTTAAATGCTTACGATATAAATAATTAGGAAGAAATATACAGTCGAATCCAAAATGCCATTGAAATATTGTTCGACTTACAACATTGTTAATGGAAAACACATCAATTTGGCATGTAAAATAAGATCGACTTAGGCACGTTTAACTCATCATTATTTGTTGATGGAATGAAAATTAAATTAATACTATTTAATTGATTGACTATTGGATATCAATTCAATAATCTGAATCTGTTTTTACTAAAACTTCCAATCTAATGTTTTTTTAGGAGAATTTTTGGAAAATCATCTGAAAAAATAATGAAAAGGTTAGATGACAGCGAGAGTGAAGATGAAGAGACACCAGTGCAGAGGATTAAATCAAGTAATTTCAAGAGGCCAACAGATTTCATTCATGAGGTATTAACATTATTGAACTGTCATATGTCAATTTTTTATTTATGTACAAAGCAACTTGAAACAGTTGAGCATGCATCATCTTATCTGGTATCTTAACTCTCTGCAGGACATTGATAATGCGTCAACACAGAACACCAAAAAGCAGAAAGTTTGGGATCGTAGTGTAGGACAGCTATCAACTTCATCATTATCTTCTCTTGTCAAAATAAAAAAAGCACCTAAACACAACAAACCAGCCACAATGGTAGTCAAATCCTCTGCAACACCAGGAACTAATGCGGGGAATAAAACAATATATGGAAACCTCCAAGAAAGACCAGAACCGGACAATACAAAAGCAATCAAGGAACTGCATGGTCAGCCTATAGTTACTGACCAAAGTACTGTTAATAGTGAACAAAGTACAGTTAACCTGTCTAATAATAGTGCACAGGGTTCAGTAAACCTGTTAAAAGTTGATTATGTGCAAAGTAATATTAACAAGTCAAAAGTAGAGAGTGACTTAACAAATGATGATACCAGTGTTATTCTAATGGCGCATATCAAAGAGGGCATGGTAAAGAAAAATGAACTGAAGGAAAGGACCACTGTTAGAGCAAGTGGCCTAGGGCTGGACCTCTTGGGTGGGTATTCTGATAGTGATGATTCAAACTCTGATGCATCTAATTAAAATATCATTCATTACAAATAATGAATCAAAGGCAGTAGCCATTTTTATAGTCAGTAAATAAAAAAAAATAAGTTGATAGCACTTCTTTGACTAATGATACATTTTTATTCACAATCTATGGGACTTCTACCAACTGATTATTTATTACAATGATCACAACCATTCATTTTCCCCAGAATAGTTTTGTAAATAAGAAAAACATACCCATGGTCTTCTGAATGTTTTTTCACTTATAAACCAATTGCAATTACCATACTTCATCTCAATTGTAAAACCAACAGCCATCATTTCATTTTGTACAATAAAAACTTAAATAAATATGCCCAGTGTTTACATTGTTTTTGTTTACAAAAGATTTATGTAGACTTCAAGATGTCTGCTGGATAAATGACTGCTTTTCCTCTCTGCAAAACACCCCATGAAAATAATGGATGTGTCCACTCTGACAAACTTATTAAACTGATTAATAAGTACATGTTACTAAGATACTGGTGCAACCTCAATACTGTTGATTCTCAGGACAGTGTGATTTGCATTTCTTTCTGCAAAAGAAAAGAAAAGATTTCATTGAAATTTATATTTAATTGCTAACCCTGTAAATTTAGTCTAGTTTTATAGGCTACTGTATATTTATTACTGGCTATTATAAGCAATTGATTGACAATTTAAACAAGAACATAGTTTCCATGCCAATTAACTGAACGCATAAATAAAGTAATAACATTTCTATATTCGCTGCATAAACTCATAAATTGCAGTAATGTTACCAAAAAAAAAAAGCCATCCAATTTTTCTATTGAAAGTTGATAATTATTTTATCTTTTTAGGCCTATATTAAATTTTGGAGTAGTGTTTATAGATTTTGCCACAGAAATGCTAGTTGTACAGTAAGCAATTGCAGCATGATGTAGCCACTTGCTGCAACACAGCTAATTACATTTACAACATGCTTAGAAGGATTATTATGGGAGTAAAATTGAAAATAACCACTTTGATATACTACAAAGCAACTAGCTAAGTGACTCATGTCAATTGATTGCTGTACAGGCATGGTTATCTTAAATTATCTGGTTAGCATAAATGCAGGTACTCAGTTTTAGCAACTGCCATCTACTGGTATATTTAAGAATTCTCTTTTATCATAAAATAGTAATTAAAAGTACTGTAATGATGACTGGATAGGAATGAAAAAGATACCAGTCTAAATTTACATTAAACCTTAAAAGAGATATGTATTAATTAACACACCTTTGTATTTCTTGAACCTCTTCCTTCGGATAAACTTGAATATTACAATCTTTGGACCTTTGGTTTTTTCGATAACTGTTGCCTCTACTTTCACAACATCTAATCTGTTTTTAAAGATATTGAAAATGATTATTTAAAAATATTATATTGGGAAAAAAATTATTAATATGTAACAGAATACACTTACAAAATGTACATATTTATACAATTTTAAAATGTACCTAATCAATGGCTTTCCTAGTATTGTGAAGTTTTCCCCGCCTGCCATTAGAACCTGTGAAAATCACATGAAGGAAAAAGCACACAACATTAATCAAACAAAAACAATAAAGTTAAAAATATAAAACATATATTTAAGTTTATATATCTTAAATTAAAATCTAAAGATATATTTTTTTTTCCTGGCCAATTACCAGACCCATACAGTAAAATACCATTTTTAAATTGTTGCATATATTCATTTTAGGATTTAGTAATTTTCCAGATTTAGCCATAAGCATACTCTTTGCATTTACCTTTTCAAGTCTAATCCTATCGCCTACATCAGCGTCAATATGTGAATATGTTTGAATCAAATCATTTGTTGTCACTTTATACTGCTTTCCAGAAATTTGTATAATTGCAAATAGACGACTGTAATTGGCATCTATCTCACTATTAACACTTTGTAATACATCTGTAACAAAAAATATAATAATTTAAACTGATGAGAATAATACATGTTTTTTGAAGTCTCAATGTTTTGGAAATTTATGCAAAGGAAAAGTACTGTATAGCAATTTTATTGAATAAGAAGTCTACCTAAAATATTCAACCAATTTGAGTTGAAACAAAAGGGTGTTGCAACCTAGATGCAGCTATGATATCGGCGTTGGTTCGAAGGGCATGCTAGCCTATGGTTCTGGTGGTGGAACAAGTCTTCACGGATAAGGAATATAAACACAGTGTACACAATTGGCTCATGTGCACTTTAAAGAACCCAGTACATCTTTCCAGACATGTAGGGGGTAACCGGTGTACAAGTCCATACAGCCTGTTACCCCTTTTGCAGGATGTACCTATGTAAACGTAAACAGGTTTTCCTTTAATAGAACTTAAATTTTTTTAAAGTCACCAAATTTTATACTAATAATAATAATAGTAATTGAAGTCAGTAAAGTTTCAGCAAATTAAATGTTTGTGTGCTGGAGTCTGGGGGAGATTATTTTTTCAAATAACCTTGACAATTACCTTTAGGGAAAGAGTAGTGATTTTGTGTAGATGTTGGTAAGGTTGAAGCTGGTTGAAGTTTAGCATACAGTGGTGATATCGTGCGAAATGCTTGACCTCTGGGAAATATGATATAAATCGATCAAGTACATAAAAATACACATTTCAACAATGAATACTGTATAAATGTTGCATGTTGAAACCTTATTATGTCATGGCTTGTAAACCATACAGAATAAAGGTAATAAACGTAATGTTTTCTATGTAGTCTCAATTATTGAAGTGCTTAACATTATTACAGTCAAACATATCAGTACTTAAAAATAAAACTTGGAACTAAATGAGCATGTAATTGTTTTCACTGATGGTGCAATTTTAGCTCTTTCTAGTATTTGAAATTATAAGCATGTATTTCTGAATTTTTTTTTCTTTTCTTTCAACATAAGCATGTAGAGTTACCTTAAACACAAACCACTGTGTACTTCAAATCTGCAACCAGGAAAAGCTGAAACCAGAATCACATTGAAGTGAATTACTTACTGTATATTAAGCAATACATATACTGTAAAGCCTATTTTTTGAAGGAGTGGAGAAAATTGAGAAATACTAGGGAACTCTGTCCAAGGTATGATTAGGCCTAGGCCCTAACACAGAATAAACATATTTAACAGCAAAGTGTCTATACTTACGCCGAGGCGTAAACATTAATCATATGCCCGATGACGGGCTTACGGCAACGCAAGGCATAGTCACAAGAAAGCATTATTCACTGGCTATTTTAAGTGTAAAGATTCCAGAGCAAATATTTATCTCAATAATTTTGTAATTCTTTTGGCGTAACCCGAAAGCTCATTGTGTTCCACTTTATATTATCTGGAGATCTAAATCGTAATTACGCACCTCAAAATCAAGTAATATTTCCCCATCTTAACAAAGACGACCAGTCGAAAATTTTCGACTCCTGTATAGTTACCGCGATACATGCTGCGTAATCAAGGCTGCTTCGAATTGTGGCAGTATGGGCTTTTTTTCGTAAAAATAATCCAGTTTTTGACTTCTGTTAGCCTACAATTATTTTTTTACTTCAATGTGGGTAAATATTATTATAATTTTTATTTTCTGAAATTTAATCTAAATTATATTAACGTAAATGTTGTTGCTAAACTGACCAATCAGCCATATTTTTTTGGTCACGTGCATTAACTTAACGCTGATTAACGCATTCTGGTTACGTTAATTTTCGTGTTTTTTTTTTTTTTTTTAATTTAATTTTTTTTCTTTTAAGTCGATTTTACGAACCAGTCAAATGAAAATAATACTCAACGAAAATTCGTACTCAACGAAATGAGCCAGTCAAATAAGCCCATAGCCTCTCAATTGCTTACGCCTTTGACGTAACAAGCTGCCCTGCGCATGCTCAATAGATTGGTGTAAGCATAGCCTATGATTAATGTTTATGTCTCCGACGTAAGCATACACTGCGTAAAAACAAGAGAGCAACCTCCATTCTAACAACAGTCAGACTCACGAGTCACAGCAACCAGGTTGGAGAGTATTACTATTTACATACAAAGAAACAAAAAACTATGATTTTTTAAGCACATGCCTAAATACTGTATTGTCAATTATAACAACTATTGCAAACCTCGAGAGCCCAAAGAACGAACAAGTCTAGGTAGCATAACACTGACAACAGGCATGGACGCAGCCATCTTTACTACTACTGTACTTTCAAACATGATGGTTGACCGAGCACGTGTCACAGGTCAAGTAATTTTCTCCGCTCGAATAAATTCCGCTCGAACTGGCATTCGCTCGAAGTGGCATTCCCCCCTCGAACTCCATGCTCGAATTGACTGGAGTTGAAGGAGGCCTAGGTAGCCCAGCTTGTAAGAGGAGGGTACATGACATTTGATGAGATAGATGGCATTTGTTTATGATTTCCCGATCTCTCCGCAGTACATCTCTGGATTCCACTGATATTTACCGTAAGGTATTATAAATTAAAAGGTATGTAGCCTAGGCTAGGAGCTAATTTATTTGGTGTGACAGACCAGGCTCCGTACGAAAATGTCCATAGCCTAGCGGCCCTAGCCTAGGCCTGGACTGTTTGCACCGAATTACAGACGATCGGGCACACGAGACGATCGGGCCCAGACGATCGGGCCCAACTAGTGTGGACGATCGGGCCCACCGATGTAGCCGTTCGGGCCCATTTTTTAAAACGGCGGGTAGACGTTCGGGCCCATTTTTCCAAAGACGATCGGGCCCATTTCCTCATGACTTCGGCCGCCGATAATATCGGTCGGGCGAAATTTGTATGGGGCGCCATATGGGCATTATCCCAATCCCACACCCACTATACATCCCACACCCACTGTTCTGCCCCACCAGAAAAGGAAGCAGGAGACAAAATCAACATGCTTTATATTTACTCAAAGCAATGCAAACATCATTGCTTCCTTTTGTCATGGTGGGGCAGTATTGTTTGGAGTCGTCATGGTGTGTGTCTATTTACAGCTAATTCAAGCACAATGCTTTCGTTAATATTTTCTTTTTTTCAGGTAAGAGGGAATGTGGATTCTGGCTATCAAAGCAATATAGTCGTTGAGACGGTCTATTAGGCATAAAAATATAAATTGTTTATTTGCCCTTCTTTTTTTAAAAATGATAAAAAGGGGCTGGTTGAAAAGAGTTTTTTAAACACATTTTTTTATATGTAAAGAACAAAGCAGAAAAAAAGTTTTCTTGCTTTGCCACCCCTATTTTTTTCTCAGGTAGGGGGGGGGGAAAGGTGAGGAGGGCAAACAGACAAACAGCCTTATTATACTTAGGACCTTATAGTAGACCTACTGTATTATTTTCTATTTTATCATTCATTTTTATTTATACTGAGTGATAAAACTGTACTTGAAGGTGTAAACTAAGGTAAGTTTCAGTGAATAATTAATAAATGTAATGTTTTGTGTTGTACAATTTGATATTCAATACAGATTACGTTTATTTGGGTGGTGGTAGCCTGCACCCATGGACTAACACACAATCATGTCTAAAAGTATACATGCATTTTATTTATGAGAGCATTAGCTGCTTAAATGTTTATTTGTTAGACAAATATTAAATAGAATGTAGGGTATTATGTAGTATAATTCAGTGTACGTTAGTGTTATTTCATTGATGTCTTATTGCGTGTTTGAAATCCTGTCTCAAGATGACACATCATCTGTAGCAGAAAATCCCAAACAAGGTTGAGACATTTATATTTATGTATAGCGCCTTTCTTTGCAGATACGAAGCTTTATATTCTACATGACAGAGGAGAATGCATGTATATTATTGACATCGCATGACATTAAAAAAAGTTATCCATATTTTTAATAATCGGGCAATAATCTCACAGACAGTAATATTACAGATATTAAAAGTACTATTACTGTCATAATTTTATTTGGAAAGTGAACATTTTCTTATTACAAAATTGACCTACTTGACGATGGCGAAGTCGGCTTTGTGGGGCGTGTACCCAAACTTGCCCGATTGTCATGACGGTCGCTGTATTAGCAGTTGAATAACCATTAGGCGTTGTCTTAACGCCTCCCTTTTGTATGTGCCAGGTATGTTTATTGGAAGTATCGTTTAGGTGTTACCCTTGCAAAAATAACTATTAACTTCGCTCCTTCCCCGTGAAGCTTAAAGTATGTTTGTTGGACATAAATTGACTGTTGCCATGTTGTTGTAAATAGCGTTGATTGATATTTCCGTGACTTTAAAGGCGTTAGCTTTTAGTCGTGTCCTTTTTAAAATATTATAATTTCAAGCTTAACTCTTCTGTTGAACACAAAATTCGGAAGAAAAAAATATTTTCCGTAAGCTTATCCATAGAAACTGTCCAATTGCTGACCTTTTAAAAATAGTTTTAACATCAGCATCATTCTAAAGAATTTTTTTATTAGGCCGATAAAATGTTGTGATACCTACTAGTAGGCCTATATACAAACAATCTAATTGATGACCTTAGGCTGA